TTAGCACGCCGACTCGTAGTGCTTGTTGAGGTACGACTTGAGAGCGAAGGACTTGTTGCAGCGTTTACACCTGAAGTTCTTGAGCTGTGAGTGCGTCTGCATGTGCGCGCGCAGGTTGGAGCGGTCAGCGAAGGACTTGCCGCAGTGGGCGCATCCGAAGGGCTTCTCTCCGGTGTGGGAGCGCATGTGGCCTTGCAGCAGCCAGGGGCGGGAGAAGGCCTTGCCGCAGACGCCGCACCTGTGCGTCAAGTTATGCGTCAGCACGTGCATGGCCAGCGCCGGCATACTGACGTACGCCTTGCCGCACACGTGGCAACGTCGCGCGTTGCCGGAGTCCAGGTCGCGATGCGTCTGCTTGTGTCGCGACAAGTTGGACGACGTCGCGTAGTGTTTCCCGCATTCCGAACACGTGTACCGCTGCTTTTCCGTCCCGTCGCTGCCGCGACGTTTCGATCTCCCGTCGCTGACGAAAAACGCCTCATAGGTGTAAGCCACAGTGCAGGGCTTATTGGGAGAGTCAAGTTGAGACGGGCGTTCGAGGCTGACGTCAAGGTGATGATGGTGATAAGGGTGAGGGGCGGGTTGCGACGACGGGTGAGGTAGGTACTCGTGAGGTGAGGGCGGTGTATGAGGCGGGGAATATTCGGCCACACGGGCGGTCGACAGGTCGAGTATGGCGTGGGCGGTACTTAGATCCTCGGCCGGACGGTCGTAGAGGGCCGGCGGCCGAGTAGTGAGGTTGATGGGCTCTTCTAGTATCTCCTGTCGGGTGTCGAACTGGGGGCAGAGCGGCGCTAGCGACACCAGCCCGCTTAGACTCTCCGTGGGCGTGAGGGCGCGGCCGTGGGCGTCGGGTGAGGGCGTGAGAGGTAGAGCTACTGGCCCCGGTGGGCTGTACCCACGCCCATCTGACACGTAACCTGCAAATGGGGAAAAAAAAGAAAGTTTGAATATTTTGTAACACGTCATAATATGTATGAAATTAGATCATATACATACATATACATGTATATGTATGTATACAGGGAATAACATAATCCCTGTTATTATGGACAGGGATACACAATACACATTGTGTATCCCTGTCTCTCTCTGTCTCCCTGTCTCTGTCTCCCTGTCTCTGTCTCTGTCTCTGTCTCTCTCTGTCTCCCTGTCTCTGTCTCTCTCTGTCTCTCTGTCTCCCTGTCTCTGTCTCTGTCTCTGTCTCTCTCTGTCTCCCTGTCTCTGTCTCTCTCTGTCTCCTTGTCTCTGTATCCCTGTCTCTGTCTCTCTGTCTCTGTCTCTCTCTGCTTGCTTGTTTACCTATCTGTTCAAAATTGGAGGCTAGGTGCTTGTGTTTAGCGTTCAAATAATATTAAAACTGTGGCCGAAACATGGAGGGTGTTTACTCACAATAGCAAAAAACAAGAATCTCGCTACGTTGCAGGTCGGCGTTCAATCCCCGACTGTCCACAAGTGGTTAGGGGACCATTCCTCCCCCCCCCCCCCTCCCCCCTCCGTCCCATCTCAAATTCTTACCCTGATCCCTTCCCAGTGCTACATATAGTGGTAAT